GCCTGTTGGCGTGTTTTTTGGGTAACGTACGTGCATCTGCGTGCATCGGCGAGGAGTATTCTTTTTATCTTCTGGCCACTAATTACTACGGTAGCCAAAGCAAGAATAAATTATATACACACATGATTGCGTAACTATGTCGACCCGACAAGTTGGACCAATACTTCGGCATTTTTACGGCGATGATTTCCGCGCCCGCCTGCAAATGAGTGCTGCGCTTTCATCCCTTTCATGTTATATCACGATAGGTTTGGCTTTTTCTTTTCGTTGCGACCGCTATGCAGGTCGTCCACCGAAATGTTTTATTGCTGTCGTGAGAAATTGAACCAGCTCAGCTTGACTCGAGGTTGGGAGATGTTTTATTGACAATTGGAAGTGCACGGAGCACACCACGCTCCACTTCGATGGGGTCCGGCCACCGCCGTGACCAGCGGCCGAAATCTATCGTTTCCGCAGTTCGGCGACCGTCGGAAGTCTGAGAGAATTCTTGATCGATTTCTGTTATCGTAAAACTATGTGTGTTTAATACGCCAAGGGCTTACCGGTGAAAGGTAACCCCCGCTGAAGAAAAGCCAGTCCGATTGCGGCAGCCGACCACGCTGCAAGCGCCCATCCCATAGCCGGAGGAAATTGGCGTCCCGGCGACGTCAGGCTTTCGATTGCAGCGATTACCCTGATCATTCTGTGTACCAGCAGCGGTGTATCGTTTGCTCGTGATCCGCCTCAACCGCTTGCTTGCTTGTTTCACGTCTACCCTTCGACCTGACAAAACTTACCGGACGAAGCGCGCGCAACCCCTGCACGGAATCCTCCTAGAATCAACCATCCATCTCGCACTTGACCTGCCACGCGCACCAATTGTCAGAGGACTCACGATCACATTGGCCAAACAATCGTTTAAACTTTTTTATAACTACCCTTCACAAATGTTGCAACCAACTCCCCCCTAGTATCTATAACCTCCTTGTTTCTCCCCCAGGAATTCCATTGCGAATGTGTATTCATTTGTTTCTAGCATTCTGTACTCGCAGCTGAATCGAGTAATCGCCACTGCTCCGCGGCCGGTTCCGACGCTGAACTGCTACAGCCTTCGTCGTGCGAGTTCTCGTTTTGCTGCGTCCCGGCGTACGGAACAAATACCATACTTTCACTCTACCGAAACATTTTAAGCTGCACTTCCCTCAGCTGCAACGTATCCAAAGCCATGGCGTTCATCGCACAAGCGTCGCGGACCAACGACGAAGCAATCGGCGTTCATAGAAACCTCAGCAGGTGACGTCGTTCCGACGGCCTGGTGTCGAAACGTCGATGCAAAAGATGAAAGACGTTTACGAATATCTGTTATGCGAAATTAGAGCGCAGCTCTTGAGGGAGAGGAGAGGAGGGTATGCCTCGCCTCCTCCCCTCCTCTTCCCTCCTCCTCTTTTCCTCCCGTTAAATTTCCCCTCTAAATTTAGTGGAGAAATTGACGTCACGTGACCTCATTAGCAATTCAGTTTCCCCGCTAAGTTTAACAGGAAAATAACGTCACATGACTTTGTGTCATGTCACCCATTAACAAATTCAGTTTCTCGGCTACATTTAGCCGGAAAATTGACGTCACGTGATCTAAACACCAATTTAAAGGGATTGTCCGGTCAAATTTTGTATTCGAGAAAACAATTGAATATCATTGTTATTGCCTCGATATGCATCGTACGTGCAATATCTGGATTTGATATGCCCCTATGCATGTGTAATTGAATTTACACTGCTCCAATCGCACTCTAGCGGAAACGCTGTTTTCAGTGGCAACATGGGAGCTCTGACGTCACACAACACAAAGCGAGCATTTCTGTCTCGTCGTTTACCTGCGAGTGAACGCCTCAGCGTCCTTCGTTTTTGTTGTTGTGCTCGACTTGTTTCGTAGTTGGGTGAGATTTTTGTTGCGCGGTTGGGTGCCACGACCACCTGGCAGCAGATGCGACCCAAGACATGACGTCCCACACTTTTCCGCGAGACGTGCAGTGACGAGAAATGGATCGTCGCCGTGCGTAGGGACTGGGTTTCTCTCAAGATCGAGATCCCGCTTATGCAGCAATCATCTCACAGAAGAGAGCTACGAGCTCAGCTCTAAGCGGACAGAAGGCTCGTAAGCTGAGATGTGATGCTGTGCCAACGATATTGAACTACGTCCGTCGCCCGGATCGGATCAATCAATTTGTTTATGCAGCGAAACCGAAACCAACACCTAGACCACCTTGAAACGACACGAGGAGTTGTATTTAGCACGCGTGCAGCCAAATTATGCTTGAGCCGCATGCATGTGCAAATAGAGCGTGGCTACGATTCACCAAGCTCGTCTAAGTGAAGTGACGACATGCATTTGAATGATTCGCCGGTTGCCTTCGACCCGCGGTCATCGCCTCTGAGGGAAAGACCCGCAGCCTCATCACCGATCCAGTGGATCCGCCGATATGTGTACCCAGATACCGCTTCGTGTACCTAGTTGCCGCTTCAGAGGCAAAATCTGCATCCCTTGCTTTGCAAGCAGTCCTAATTCGATCGGTGGCCATCGCAGTTGTGCTTGCGCAAAACGGCATACGTTTGCTCGAAGCTTATGGCGTGACTTTTTTTCCACACGCTTGGGAACTGCAATAAAGGAATTGTATTTCACTAGGGTACAGCCTAGGACAGTGGTTCTCAACCATCGATGTTTCGCGGGCCCCTTGTGGATCGGCGGAGATGATGGAGGACCCCGTTCGTGGTGAGAGGAGAGGAAAAATATAGGTTAAATATAATAATGATTTAATAAATGGATATAACTAAGGGCTAGTGTGAAGAAGACCTCTCTTATTGACATTCACACGAAAAAAACTCGCCCGAAAACTGAAACATTTCTTTTCGACTTAAAAAAGAAAAGACAACTTTTATTGCCGGGCTTGGCTGATGAGGCAGGGCTTCGCGGACCCCCATTTGAGAATCACTGGCCTAAGAGACTATATAATTCGAAACAAAATACAAGACATCCATCGACCAGCGCTTGTTATCCCGACCATCCGACAAACCTTTGCGTTTTGTGACGTCACGCAGCACCTACGGATGTCAGCCATTGACACTGGCGAAATTCGGGGGGCAGTTTCGTACATACGCTCATGAAGGGTTTTATTAATAACGGGAGATAATATTTCAAGATAAAAATGTTGTTTGTCTACCTGAAGGCTCCCTCGACGTAACGAGCGCAAAAACTTAAGTACTTCCACTTTAGACCGGACAATCCCTTTAATTTCCCGCTAAATTCAGCGGGTCGGTTACGACGACGCCGACGCCAACGACGACGCCACTAAACGCGGAAACGGGCTCCTAAGAGCTGTGCTCTAAAATGTCGTTTCGACGCAACACGGCGCTTGACTGGCGCGGCTCCCTCGCTCGGTTGGGAGAGCTTCCGTTTCAGGAAGAGAGGCATGCTTTTACGTCACAGACACGTGATTTGACATGTTGGTGACCGAGTTCGATCGAGTCGAGGAGAAAAGCAGACGTGAGTTTTCATCTTTTTTTTCTGTGCAAAACTGGAGGCAATAAAACAAAAATGAATTCCTGCTGCGGGTTCTATGAACATTGAAGATTAATTGGGGTCTTCATTCGGAAGGAGCTGAAAAGTCATTTATGGTCCCAGACGCAGTCGAGGCTTTGAGTTGATGGAAAAAATCAGACGGCGTCAAAAGAACACTCACTCTAAAAAAAGTCTGTGCGTCTACTTTCACGCACAAAACTTGGAAAGCCAATCAGCGCAACTTACGGAGGCAGCTCAGCGAATGACAATGCCGAAACATGTGTTTAGACCAAAAAACGCTGTCTGAGTTGTGACATTAAGCAATGCAAAACGTCACGCTTGCATTGCTTAATGTCACAACTCAGTCAGCGTTTTTTGGTCTAAACAGACGTTTTGGAACAACCATTCGCTGAGCTGCCTCCGTAAGTTGCGCTGATTGGTTGCCCTAATATTGTGCGTGAAAGTAGACGCACAGACGTTTTTTAGAGTGTAGGCTTAGCGAGGGAGTATGAGTATGGCCTGCCGTGTCCCATACCTGTCTGGCTGCCCGGCTACCACTCCAGAGTACAGCATTACCCTCTCTGCTCACTGATAATTTAAGAAGCTTGGGGAATTAAGAAGCCGATGAATCAGGACGACCGGCCAAGTATACTTCATATTCCGTTCGCCATCTTCGTCCTGTGTTTACTTGCGCACAAACTCCGGCACAATGGGAGCCCGAATATACGTGCTCACGCACTCTTCCTGTATCGGTAGGCAACGCCTACAGCATTACAAATTTAGAGAAAGTGGCATACTTGAAAATGTGAGCAGTTAATCTGGTCTTGACGCGATGTCGTGAAGTAGAGTTGGCCAATGGAAACCGAAATTTGGTGTCCAATGGGTTCCCAAGATGCTGTACACGCCATTACGCCGCTAGGATCGCTTTGGTATTGCGAAAGGTCTATTCTGCAAGTGGGGCTACTTAGACCCACGAAGTATGCTATCTGGATGTTTCGGAGTGACGACAGCTCAGCCATCTTTGTACTTAAAATCACTGTTTACAACTGTAATTGTCTTGTGCGTATGTTTACACAGCCGGATGTTAGTCAGCCTAAATGGGCGTCTGGCGTCTCAGATGTATATGAGAAATTGAGCCAGTTCAATACGACCACTAGCCTGGGGTCTTTAACGTGAACTCCAGGTTATATTTCATATGTACTCAAGATGTACTCAAGGCTCTTTTGCACCATAAGTGCGAGCGAAGCCGAAGACACGAGGAGCGCAGTGTTTCTATGGCTTGCACTGATATCACATCAGTCGCCATAGTGGGGCGTGAGGCCTTGCCGTCTTTCCGCTCACGCGCCCTTACGTCACTGCCAGATTCGAATGGTTGAAGAGAAGAAAGACGAGCCTAGGGGACGGGTTGACGAGCCTAAGCAGCGCCTCCCATATAGGAGGCACTGGTCTAAGCACCGAGGAGAAGGACATGGCGACCAGATCCTTGACGAGCAGCCCCGTGCCACTGGGTCAGGAAAGTCGCAGTGACGGCGGGGGCAGCCTGCCCAATGCGGGCCTCAAGCGGACCCATTTCCGCGAGGCAGTGATGCCCCAAGGAACGCCCAAGGACATGTACGACAGCCTGCTCAGTGACTCCAACAAGCGCGAGACGTCCAAGAGCAAGCCCTTCATCGGGTTCGTCTCCCCGCACGACAACATGGGCTCGCCCTTCTCCTCCCTGGCCGAGTTCAAGGACTTCATGTATTCGTACTATACCGAGGGACAGTTCATGATCACCCATATGCGGGATCGCGTTCCCCGCGACCTACCTGAGGTGACGCAGCTCTTGGAGGCTTCTTTTAAGCGCTACGTGATGCTCAAGCTCGAGCTGGACTGCTACTTCTCGACGGTGGTCAACTACGAGCCGGGGAGGCTGGGTATGAGCGACATCCGCTTCTGGCCCCACCACATCCTCAAGAACATGGACGAGAACATGAGCTGGGTCATGGAGCTCATTCGGAGGCGGCCGCACCTCAGCGAGTTCTACAACGACACTCTGGAGCAGCTCAAGCTCCTGCTCTACCAGATGCGGTCAGCCACGCAGCTCTACGACTGGCGCAACATCTGAAACAAGCGTGTCTCTTGTTTCGAGCTAACTTTCTTCGATTGATATCTTTTTCTTGACTTCCAGTTTAATAAAAGATACCATCCAAATCTATTGGCCATGCGTACTACTATACGGCACTCCAGTTCGACAGCGATGCACCGTGTCATCACCACAATTTCAAGACAATAGACAGTTTTAGTATAGCGTTGCTGGATCTTACGTACGCAATACGCAATAGTATAGCCTTCGCTAAAAATGACCTGCTCGGACCGAATTTAGTTGTCCGTTACGTTTTCGAGTGAACACCGCGCATGATCTTGGTTAAATTTGCTAGAGCCGTAGAATTCCGCGTGCTTATAGCGCAACCATGCTCCTGAAAAGGAATATTGAAAAAGAAAAAGTGTCCAATCATTTTATTTCAGGTTAAACCAAGCCACAGCTGCCTTGTCAAGCGCGCTTTTCTGCGGGGTACAGAGGCTACGAGTACGAGTGCGTAGCCAAATTCGATCACGGAGCCTCCGTCAGCCGTCCCGTGGAAACGGCACCTTTTATCAATGCTATCGCGGAATGAAATTCATGATCCTGATGTCCAGTGCATAGCGAAAACTTCGGCGATTTCTTTTAGAGTCGTTCGTCCGTCGGCGATGAACTAGGGGAATAGGCTTAGCGTTGAGCAGATCGCAGCGTCAACGCACACTGCGAGCGGCGAACATTTCCACTGTGCGCTCCTTCAGCTGCAGGGCGATCTGATTCGACCGCGGTAGGTTTCAGAAAGAATCGCCGAGCTGAACACCACGCAATTTCACGTAACACAGAACTTGGAAAACACCACGTCGCCCTTGCTGCGCCAGTCAAGGCAACCGCCATCTTGAAACTGGCGCTCTCGTTGGCTCCGAGATCTCTCGAGAGCGTCCCGCAAGTCCCGCTAGCCAGCAACGCAAAATCCCCAGCTTTGCGTGCGTACGCAATACGCTAGACCTTCTATTGCGTTCTGCGCATGCGCACTCACGACCCGCAATCTCCTTGCGTACGCAAAGCTATAGCGTACGGTCCACTAAAACTGTCTAATGTACACTCTGAAACACAGTTAGCGCGAACAAGCCATCGTCGGATTTTCTTTTCCTTTTCCCTTAGTACTAAAGGGCCGTCACCAAAGCTACTATAGTGGTAAGGAGTGCTCAGTTGCGTCTATTAACCCAAGTGGCAAATTTTGATGCCCGCCAGTACCCTTCGCAAGTAAAATGCGAAAAAGCGTCGAAGTCGTGTTCGCGCTAACATTGTCGCGTAGCGCACGCCTACCGGAATAATATAGTCTAAATACGTGTCTTTATTTTCTATAGTTTTCTATTCCTATACTTCGTTCGGCTTAAGTAAAGACGCAGCCGATGCTACGATCGCGAGCTCTAGGCTTTCAGCGTCCCTGCCGAGCACGCGCGGTCGTGCAGTGCAAACACTGTTCAGGGCCATATGTTCGCGCTTGTAGCATCGGCAGCGTCTGGACTTAAGCTGAAACGAAGCATAGTCTGCGCTGTAACGCTGACCATGGTGGAACGCCATGCTAATCGTAACAGCACACACTTTTCTTTTATGCAGAGCCCAATTTCGTCTGCTTTTTTTGCAGGGGTTATGGTGACGTCAGAAGGCCGAACTCTGATTGGCTTTTATTGCAGAATAGTGGGTAGACCTCAACTTTGAGGTCTACCTACTATTCTTCAATCAAAACCGATCAAAACTCGGCGTTCTGACGTCATGACAACCCCTGCAAAAGAAGCAGACGAACTTGCGGTCCGGATATAGTCTAAATATCCGCCACGTAGATTGCAGCGATCGGTTCTCCCAAGTGCTCGGCTTGAAAGTAAACACTCTATATTTCTTAAAGTGTAGACATGTCTGTTTTCGTGGTCTGGTAAGGATCCCTATACACGTTCGCAAATCCGGTCTCAGGGCGCCGCTATCTTGCTCAATGGGGTGCGCTTGGGTGCGGCCACAATCCGATTACTACGCCTTAGCGAGGGCTCCGTAATCGGATTATGACGCGTCCAAGCGCAGCCCAGCCAAGCAAGATGGCTGCGCCCTCAAGCCGGACTTACAGACGTGTTATACACGTTTGCAAGTCCGGCTTTCGGGGCACAGGCCGGACACGCATCGTCGGCGCCCTTCGCGTGACAAACTAGGTCCTTTTATTTATTTTTTTCACATTACCTCCTTCTTTTCTTCCGAGAAGAATTTGTTGTATAAGTAATGGCAACATCTTAAACGTCTTCACAGCGGTAACTTCAAAGGATGTGTCAAATGGATAAATCTGGCTTTGTCTGGTTCCTTATTTTATTATATTTTGTGATAAAATGACAAACGGCAAAACTTGCGCAAAAAGCCCTTTAGCGACCCCTTTAATTAAAATACCTGCCGTGGCGCGAGGTTTTCACCTGCTCAGTAGTTCCGACTTAATAAGTAAAAATTAGTTTCTATGTGCGACATTTAGACCGCAATAAGCACGGTCGCAATATGGGACACTGACTGTTTGCGACAAACAATGGATCGTCATTGTTTTACGTTTAACCTTCCACCCTCCAGGTGAATCCTTGAACAACGTATACCGGGTTTAACTTCTTGTACAACCAAGAATACGAGCGTTGACCTGTAGACGTCGAAATTTAAGCGTTACGAAAGAGCTCATGTGAAAGAAAGAGAAAGAAGTGAAAGCACCTTGCATAACAATGAAGTCGTGACCGCCGCCTTCGTTAACTTTTGTCTATGAACAAAGGTGCAATCAATGCCTCATAAGTCATTATCAGAGAATTGCCATTTTTATATATAGCTTACGGTTGCTCTATCTATGTGATACCTGGAACCCTGGGAGAGAGGGTATTGCATAAGGGAGTATTTTAATTAAACTATGAAGTTGACGTGTCTTTTATTTAAATGAGCACTCAAGTGAATTCTGAGATCGTCTATTTCTTGTCGCAACTCGAACTACGGTCTCTAAGCATCCTAAAAAACCCGTAATCACACTGAAGAGCGGCCGATTTCCCTATTAAAAATTCAATCAAAGATCGTGCGGCGCCGCTCTTTCCGCGCCATGGCGCAGAACACCAGGGGGAGCCACCGGACGTCAAGGCAGAAGGAGAGCGTACTCGACAGTTTATCACGAGTGAGGTCTTCTCGGCGAACTGATTTTTCGAGTGCGCGCGTATTCGAAAATTGAGTCCGCGGGAAACCGTATCATTCGTGATCGGCTGTCGCGTGTCTTCCCCTGCTGCCTTCCCGTCCGGTGGCACCCCCTGGTGTTCTGCGCCATGGCGCAGAAAAGGGGAAGAGGCGAACACGATTTTTAATTTGATTTTTAATAGGGAAATCGGCCGCGCTTGAATGTAATTTCTGGTTTTTTTAGGATGCCCAGTGGCCGTAGATTGAGTTACTACAATAAATAGACGATCTCAGAATACACTTGAGTGCTCCTTTAAGTAAAGCAGATGGTTGTCCAAGAAAAAAAGACACAGCTTAATATTTCGCCTACATGAACATGGAGGGTTCACTGATAAATTATCAGTGAAAACTGAAAAATGCATTTAACGTATGTCACCCAAACAAAGGAAACTGCCATATATTTTCCCCTCAAACAGGTCTGCAGGACTCCAATCGCAATTCACCAGAGGAGTTCTAATAATGTGAACATGCGTGAGACGCCAAAACACGAAATTGCAAATAATATGGTTGTGCTTCTCGAAAATATACGTGGACAGGAAGGTATACACGACGTTTCGGGCGGACGCAATAAAGTAGGTTGGCATCTCTTGAATTGTTATTGTACAGAGGAATAGTGCAGGACGTTTTAATATTGTTTTTTGTTGCGAGGTTTAAAAAAAAAAAAACCTCGATGTTATGGTTTGTTTTGACTCTAGAACTTTATAACAGATTTAGGCGGTCGTTTTCAGCAAGCTGGGCAGCGCACCTACATCCCCGCATAGTGCGAGCTAGCCTCAAACATTGGAAAAGCGTGCGATGAGCTGCAGTGTACGATAAAGTTTAAAAACAGTCGCACAACCATGTGCAGAGCACAGTTAACACCAACGTTACTAAAACACTCAGTTGGGAAACTCACCCTTGAAACACGAACCGCTCGCGTTCACCGAGACCAAACTAAATACGATGACAAAGCCCCCCTTTAGCGACGAGTCAAAACATGAAAGTTGATTTATGTAGCTACTGCGAAATGGCATTGCGACATGGCGCCACCGGCATTTGAGTGACTCAACCTCAACCAGTACGTGCAGCCTTGCAGTTCCCGGAGCGGCCACTGAGGGACTAATGGCGGCGTTGCGATCGCTTTTAATTCAATTGTCGAGTACGGATCGGCGCTAATTTTTCAAAGGAGGCTCTATGGCAGTTTCCCAACTGAGTTAGAGTGAGCTAGAGGATGGGTAGTGAGTTCAGCGAGCGGTCACGGCTAACGCACATCGTGTCGACGGCGTGAGAGGGCGCCACTAAAGCATGAGCTGTTTACGCGCATGCATCGCATAGCATTTGCTGCGCTACTGGCGTTGTCGTCATCGTCGTCGCCGTAATCGATTGGGCATTGCACTTAAATCGACATAAGTGACAGAAATTACGGGTGAAAAGTCTGAACGGGAGCCAGTTCGTGCTGCCGAAAAGCCGCAGCACAGCTGCGTCCTTCCAGGACATTCTCATAATGCATGGCGCGCGTCGGTGCCTGATCTCACTATTCCTCCTCTAGTTCACCGAGACTGAGTTGTTCTAATAACGTTGGTTAACACGTGCACCCTGTCGCCGATTTCGCTTGTTTTACTTTCGCAGCTGAAAGGCTTTTCCGGCAAAAAACAGTTACCTAAAAGCATACTAATTTCGCAATTTTATGAAATAAAATGCATCCTTGGGAAGTAGACTCTTGCGGAAGGTATATTACAGCGTACTTTGAATCGGGACAGATTGATAAGAGAGTTAAAAACATGTAATTAGTCAAGCGTTCTCCACTGCGAATGAAAACTGATCTCAGAAGAACAAAATCTAGTGGCTTTCCATGGGCTTATAAACCTGTGATACTTATTCAATTCATTTTATTTACTCCCATTTTTACATATGGGTGACGGAGACAGGGAAAAAAGCTGCAAAATGTGCAGCTTGACAAAGCCCCTGCCCCCTATCGGCAGATCGGCAGGCAGGAAACGTTAATAGAAACATTTTAAAGGCGAAAAAACAAAACAGGCAGTTCTATGCAGGAGAAAAAAGTTTAAAAGTTAGAAGTGAATATTGTGCGTATTGTTTTCTTATTTAGTGCATCAAGACAGACATGGTGGTCTCTTAAAAAGTTCAGTAATGTTGGCAATGTATGCTGTAACATTTGAAGCCCATAATTTGTTCTAGGACGAGGTACTCTCACTTCTGCGGGGTGTTTGCTGGATGCGTTAATAATTTCCTTCAGTGGGGTATGTATTGTAACTGAATAATTAACCGAGTTTACTCTGCCACCAGAGAGAGAAAAAAATGGGTCTATTCAAAAGACGAAGAGGTTAACCAAGCTTAATGATGCTGGCTTAATGATATTGCCGAAAAAATGTAGGATCGGTGGCCAAGTGAATGATCGTAGCAGAATCAATAGACCTGTCTATCTCACAAAGCGTTCAACGCATGCGTGACGCCACCATAACCTATAGTTCACAGGAGACAGGCTGCTGTGTTCTCACGCGCAGAGCTCCAGCGAGGTTGTCGCACATACATATATACTAAAGTTCCCTCGGTGCCTTGCAGCAGCGGTGCCGCCGACAAACTGGCTGGTGAGATCGGTCTATTGGCAGAAGCTACACGAGTGAGCTTCGGGAAACGTTACTAAACACTCAGTTGGGAAACTCACTCTTAAAAACCTCCCATCGACCGAGACCAAACTAAATAGGATATCAGCGCCTTTCACTAGTGACTAGTCAAAACATTAAAGTTTATTTATATTGGTACTGCGAAATGGCAATGCGAGATGGCGCCACCGGCCATTGCGCGACTCGACTTGAACCGACAGATGCAGACGTGCAGTTCCCGGAGTGGCCGCTGCCGGGGGAATGGCGGCGTTGCGATCGGTTCTGGAGTACGGATTGAAGCCATGGACCTTTTCAAAGGAGGCTGTATGGCAGCTTCTCAACTGAGTAGTTCTAGTAGCGTTGGCTCCAGGCTTTAGGCATCCCTGTCAAGTACGCGCTCTCGTGCAGTGCAAGCATTGCTCAGGGCATAGCCTCCTCTACACTCACAAAGCCTGGCGATTCGACGACGTAACCATAGAATGCCCGGTCGCAGATTTGGAGCGCGAGTATCTGGTAGCACAGAGCATCAAAGAGCCATTTCTCGGGAAACCTTGACGTCAGCGCACAGCTTTTGCAGCGGCGAGGACGCGAAACACACTTGTTCGCTCGGCAAAGTGTGTTTCGGCGTCTCGCCGCAGCGGGGCGCCAGTCGCGTGGCTCTCCTCTCATTCGTTTCCTGCCGCTCCACCTTTTCCGTTTCGGCGGCCGCTTCTTGTGGCGATCTGCTAGGCTTTGTGGGTATATAGGAGGCTATGCTCAGGGCCACGTGCTCGAGTTTGTAGCACGTGGTTTGAGCGTCGGCCTCGCTCGCACTTAAAGTGAAACGGAGCATGGCGATTGCAAGCAAGGCCACTGGCCGCCGCGATTTCTCTGCTCGCGCGGACAAGCCTGTGCAGTTTCAAGCTTGTCAAAGCTATGTTAACGCGTAAGCTGTACGTGCTTGCACTCAGGGGGCACCAATCCGGGCTTGCAATTGTCTATTCACGGCGAGAAGTTGGGGTATCACCGCCTGGTGGAATTTTTCAAAACCCAGAGGGAGGATACTTCAACTTCCTCTGCTGGTGCAAGCACGTGCAATGCCAAGCTTCTATGCACTATGAAAATTAAAACATAACCGCGTGGGTAGCAGGTGCACTGTCCATAGTGACAAAAACAGAAGCAGCACCCCTAGCGAGCTCGGCACCGCAAATAGCGCACACTAGCGCACTCCAGCTGGGAGCACGTGGAACGAAAGCTCGCGCTGCAGAACCTAGGATATGCCGCCCCAGCCCGTTTTGACCTAAATGCTCATCGTACTGGCGTGCGGTTTTGTATCACTACTGCGTGATGCACGTTAAATACCCCAAATCAGCGTTTGTACTGCACTGGCTAAATTTATCATATACAGCTGAGACAGCAGATGTCCATAGCGGCTGACTAATGCCCGTGCCACACGGGCACCTCGAATGTCATTTGCAACGAATGACATTGGAGCGGACGGCCAATCAGCGCGCGACACTCTGGGCGTGGCGCATTCCACGTGCGACAGACTGCGAGCTGATTTGCCGATCACACGAATGTCATTTGTTGTAAACGGCATTCGAGTTGCCCATGTGGCACGGGTCTTACTTCCGGCTGTATAAACATACCCAAACATATTTGTTTCCAAAAAAATTGTAGGTTCATGCTAGACTTACCGGCTGGATCGGGTTGGCGCGCAAGGAAGTGTCATATAATTGAAGATCAACACAGAAACGAAAAGTAGACTAAGAGAAAACTAAAATGGGTATTTCAGATAACCAAAGTTGAAGTGATCTTAGATTACTTTTTATCAAAACTAGTAATGTCGTGGTCTGATTTCAGATAACCAAAGTTGAAGTGATTTTAGATTACTTTTTATCAAAACTAGTAATGTCGTGGTCTGATTTCAGATAACCAAAGTTGAAGTGATTTTAGATTACGTTTTAATAAAAAGTAATCTAAAAATCTAAAAAGTAATCTAAAAAAAAATAGAGAAAAAAATGGTTTTAGAAAGGTTAGTATACAGCCCTGTTACATTAGTATACAGACCACCACATTACTAGTTTTGATAAAAAGTTTTTATCAAAACTAGTAATGTGGTGGTCTGTATACTAATGTAACAGGGCTGTATACTAACCTTCCTAAAACCATTTTTTTTTTCTCTATTTTTCTTTCTGTAAAAAAAAAAAACACACCGAAGACACTTAAGACTGCAAAGGTGTATAGGAATGCGAAAGTATTATAGTCCCGCGGGTCCGGAGGTGACAGCACGCTCCCCCACTGCGCAGGCGCGGCGCCCCCGCCGGCATAACGGCTTCCGAGGCGAAACATCTGCATTGCTGTGCTTTCCTTTCTGTTTTATTTCCGAGGCGCGTCCGCTTTAACCTGGAGCGGCGTGTGCTTGATGATCTATTTTCATGGCCATCTTTCGGGCACAACGCCGACACCTTTTCGCGAAATAGGACACATAAGGCTTTTAATAAAAGAAGTTTGATTGCGGCTGTCGATAAACCATTTTGTTGTTATACGGTATATATTTGCTCCTCCAAAGAACACGGGCGGTCTCTTCACTCGCAGGGCTGTGCCTGATCGAGCTGGTCACCTCTCAGCGGCCCTGCCCTGACTCCCTGTACGCCTGCCTGTACCAGTGGGCGGGCGAGGCGGCCGCCTTCTCGGCCGGTTGGCTGTCCCTGCTCCACCAGGGCGCCGCGGTGGCCTGCGTCGCGCGCCTCCAAAGCAGCACCATCGACTCGCTGAGCGGCGGGGCCCTGGGCCGGGCCTGGCAGGCGCTCGGCTCCTACGACCCCGTGGCCCTAGCCCTGGGCCTGACGGCGGCGTCCCTGGCCGCGGCGCCGAGGCTCCTGTCCGCCCGGGAGCCCACCTGGCTCGGCCTGCTGCTCATCGGCGTGTCCGTGCTGGCAGCGCTCTTCTTCGTCGCCATGGGGTCGGTCGGGGCCACCGCGGCTCCCGGCAACTACTGGAGCCTGGCTATGCTGGTCATGAGTGACAGCGCACCCACGGGGGTCAGCCCGCCTTGATTCCTTTCTTACATCCATAGCATTTATGGCTCTTGGCACTTTCGTGTTCGTGGCTTGTAGCCTCGATAGTGACGTCACGCTCATGACGTGACGTCGTCAGCGTTTGAAATGGTTCAATATGACGTTATGTGACACTGTTATGTCACGTGCCCTGACGTCACATCCCCTGGTTACGTGACGTCTGTCTCACGTGACGTCGCAGTACTCGTGACGTCTCGATGTCGCAGTCCCACGCGACGCGATACTGTGACGTTATGGTTTCATGTGGTCCCATGACGTGGCGTCAAGTCACATCGTGACGTATAGGTGAAACCCTGGCATCACAGAGGGTTTATGAATGAGGCATTTATACTTCTGCGAGCTGATGGGACCAATCAGGCGGCGTCGAAAGCGCACCAACATGCTGTTCATCACGCTTATATACGCGTTTTATCATCTCTGAACCAATCATAAACAACAAAATTGTTCGCACTTACGCAACTCGTAAGCTGAAGCAGAGCTACAGCTGAGGTGTGACGTTGGAGCCGCTAAGGCGTCATTTTGGAGCAGATGCACAGAACGAACGGTAAAGGTGCGAGTGCGCACCCCGCATAGGCGTTTCGTGTTAAACAGAGTAACACACCGGTGGAAAATTCCATAGAGTTTCGGAACCAAGAAAGGCGTATTAAGTAAAGAGCATTTCAGCTGTCTGCCTAAGAGGGGAGCGTGTTTTCGTACTTCAATTTGGTACAGAGTCACATATTCTAAACAAAAAACGCCGAATAAACAGGGACAAGGAAGCAGACAAGACGAAGTGCACTCTTAAATGAAGGTTTATTGAAACGAACACACACTATCAATACCATCTTTTTGGCTCTTCGTTTAGTAAATAAAACTTTGTATCTGTCAGGTGCATTGACGGGGCACTAACGCACTTGCTTTCTTCTTGCTTCTTAATACAGAATGCATCGTCATATTCTAAGGCAGTTTTGCGCATCTCCGAGAGAAGAGACCTGTGAATTTCAGAATTTTAGAACGCAGCTCTTAGGCGCCCGTTTCCGGCTTGAGCGGCGTCGCCATCGGCGTAATGGCGCTTTGTATTATAGGACGGTCCCATATTGACGTCACGAGTGACCGTGTGCCCTAAAACCTCTTAAGTCCCTTACGATGAGAGACACGCTGGCGCCATCAATCGAGTAACCGTTGAACACTACGCATGTCCATGACCGTCTTTATCGCGCACCACTCTTGTTTTTTTTTTGTTTGTTTTTACTTGGAAAACTTTGGCAATGTTATAAACGACCATTTCTCAAAATCGTGCGGCTTTTAAGCCTCCTATGACTGCTCACGACCGGCTACGCTGCTGCGTATAACCGGTCGTAAGCAGCAACAAGAGGATTAAATACTGTTTTAAGCCTCTCCGGTCCTAAGCAGTCGCAAGTGTGTAAGCCAGCCTCAAGCAAACGCAAATTTGTGAACGGGCCTTAGGAACACTGCCTATCGTCTTCCTGCAGCTCCTGTCCGGCGCAGCCCTGTGCATGTACGCCTTCATCGGCCCGCACACGGCTCTGCGCCGCGCTCCGGAGAGCCCTCGGCCGTCCCGGGACCTGCCGCTGGCCGTGGGTCTGAGCACGGCGCTCACCTTTCTCCTCACCTTCGCCATGGCCGTGGTGGTGACGCTCCAGGCGCGACAGGACGCGCCCAGGCCGCTGGCCGCCATGTTGGCCTCCTGCTCGGCGGACTGGGCCGGAACAGCGATGGCGGCCGCTTCCCTCGTCGCCTTGGCGGGACTCACCGTCTACGGCCTGCTACCCCTGGGTAGGACCCTCACGCCTCTTCGTTCGTTAGAAATGACGCAGCTTGTTTTGTGCTCAGGACATGAACGCCTTCTTCCAGTGATAGGTCAAACTGTTGATATGCGTTCTGATTATGTCCGGCATTGGAAACTTCCTCGTTAATCACCTGACCAAAGTGCAGAGTCTCAAGGGTGCTCACTCCTTGGTTGGTACATAGACGTTTCCAAGCAAAATCCAGCGCATTGTCCGAACCGTGTTAGAAAAATAAGAAAATTTGTTCGCCAAAAAAAATTTGAGCTAAAAAAACAGTTTTTTTTTTTCTTTTAGTTTGTTGACGCCACGTGCATGCATAGTTTCACCCTGTGCATAGTCCGTACCACGTGCATTGTTCGCACCTCGTGCATGGCCCGCACCTGGTGCACAGTCGGCATGTAAAATATTTTCATGCGCAACGAACCTTGAAAGGTGCCCGCTTTATTAGCGCACACAAAAACCTTCCGTCATAAAAATAGCATTATTCTAGGCAACGTGTATTTCGAAAAATCCATTCCTTCTCGTCATATGAACGATCTTGAGAGGGGGAAAAAAAAAACAACCTCTGCACCTATAGATAGTCCACGCTGCGTAACATGTCAACTTTAAACGTGCATACTTCGCGCACTGTCGCTCCAAAAACATGGTAATATTCGTTCTCAGCGTACGCCATTGAAAACGTTTTCTTCTATTATGACCTAAGATTTCAGGCTTTTGAAAATGGCGAGCAGTCATCTATTGCTTGCACCGTTTAACGTAAAGACGCACCCGAGTCAATGGTTGTGCTGTATATATATATAGCCGAGCCTCTCGACGAAACTCTCGTAACATAGTGTTTGTAACATAGTGTTGTTCCTGGGCACGAAAATGGATTGACGATTTAATTAATTTTTTTCACCGCCCTATGAAATATTACACCGGGCACAACATGCCTCTGTCTTCTAAAATTGGAACTTCGGGGGAGCTGTAGGCGGATGTTGACTTGGAACCTCGTGCAGAGGAACTGCGTGTCAGTTTGATAACCATGGTGAAATAATGTTTTATGCGAAGCTTATTTATTGTTAAAGGGATGGTGAACCGAAATTTGGATTTCAGAAAAGAATGCAGGAGCTGTAGGCGGGACGCTACAATCCCTACAACACTATTCGTAAGGCAATATCTCGAATGGACGGCCGTATTTTTGGAAAAAGAGGTCCATATTGAACGAGGCTGACGAGGCGCGTGACTTCAAGATATCTCGTTTCCTCTCTTCGCTTCGCCCCCTCAAGGCGAGGGGGAGAAGACGTGAGGTCGTTCCCTCTCCTTCTCGGAGAAACAAGGCGTAAACATTATCTGTCAAATGCGCCTCCTTTTTTTTAAAAAAAATACGGTCATCCGTTTGAGATATCGCTGCATACGAGTGATATTTTGGTGTTTGTATAGCATGCCGTTGCACGCTTTTGCCGCCGTGTTTTGTGGAATCCAGATTTCGGTTTGGCATCTCTTTAAGGACTCACAATTAGTCTTAGCAAAAGTTGACGTAGGTAATCGTGCTGGCATTCAGAAGTGACAGCAAGTTTCACTGTCAGCTGGTCGCTATCGTATCTTCCAGCACGTTATGTAAACTTAGGAAACGCGTTGTAAACTTTTGCATATTGGATACCTAAAAGGTGCCATAGGTACAAGAAGTGTTAGGAAACTTGAAAGAAGACCATACATATAAGAAGTTTAAGGTTATTTAAAGAGATGTCATACACAAAAGAAAGTGTAGGATACCTTGGAAATATTCGTGCACAAAATAATGTAAAATACCTAAAGTATGGCCTTACACCAGGAACTACAAATGTATTACCAGCAGTAGCTGTACTTGATGATTTGTAAAAAAAAACACATTAAGGTATAAAAATTATATTGGGTTAGTATTTCAGTTACGTTAACGTCATTACCCTGGTGAAGTTATTTCGTGTAATCTATAAATTAAATATATAGGCTTGACTAAAATTTGTTAAATTGAGAATTAATTACCATTTTGGCATCAGTAAATAAAAAATTTGCATTACAATTACCGATACTTTTGCGTCCACCTTACAACTACGTTTGCGTTACAATTACACTTTTGCGCTACAATTACGACAAAACTTGAATTAATATTGTGACTTTTGCAATATTTTGTTTCAAATGGCACTCGTTTCATGGACACTAACAGGAAACTTCAATACCTTCTAGACTTCATTATCTACAAAACAAAATTATGCAAATGAACATGATAAACATACACGCGAAACCCCCGGGCGTCTGCCTCTTTTGGTAGTTCACGAACATGCGACTGAATTTCGCGTGTAATTTTAGTCTACCTGTTTAGCAAACGACACCTCGACAGTCTCCGTGGTATATATATATATATATATTATATATATATATATAATTAATAAACTTGACGAAACAAGGGCGTATAACCTGCCGAATGTAGAATGTTGTGTAATGAAACAATTAGACGAGGAAGAAATAAATTTGAATACGGAAAAATTATGTCAAAGCAGTGTCCCTCAAGTCAGGTAACAAAATGCATTTTAAAATAATCGTAATATTTTTATAATGTATAATGACTAAATGTAAGTATAACTTGCCATGTTGTTCGGTAATTAACTATACTTTTTGAGTTAGGTAACTGTTCTAATAGCGTAATTACAATTCAAAGGTACGCAAATATGCTCGAAGCCACAAATTAAAAGCTCCTCATACCTAAAATTGCTTCAGCCACTGCATACCGCGTCGTGCGCAATGTAGACACAAACGCCCGTCCTCGACCGACGAAACATGAAACTGAACCTTACTCAACGATCAACCCCCCCCCCCCCCCCCCCCCCCCCTCTTTCTGTCAACCTTGTCCCGACAGGCGGTGCAGTCCGCTCCCTCGCCGCCGACGGTCTGCTCTTCCGGAGCCTCGCCAAGGTGTCCTCGAGCACGGGTACCCCCGTGGGATCCATCCTTGCCGCCGGAGCCCTGGCATCCCTGGCCGCCCTTGTCATTCCCGTACGCCGTCTGCTGGGCCTAATGGCGGCCGGCCCGCTCGTCCTCAACGCAGCCGTCTGCATCGCCGTCCTACTGGCTCGCTACCATCCGCCCAGCCGGACAGCGTACGACCTCCTCCGCGACGAACCACCGCCAGAGTCCCCGTCCAAGGAAGACGCCAGTTCCGAGCCGACCGCAACGTCTTCGTCATCCGAGGACGAAGAGGAAGAAGAGGAAGAGGACGACCACAACAAGGACACCGACGCCCTCGTCCGCGAGTACCGTGAGCGACTCCGCGTCGCCGCCCTGACGGACGTCCACGGGGGAACGTTGAGGGACCCGACGTCCGTGACGGCCCGCAGGTCGGACCTAGCCGTGGCCGGCATCATCGTATCTCTGTTCGTCTTATCGGCGGCCATGGAGCTCGGGTCCAGATTAGACGGACACGCGGTGGCCTCGGCGTGCGCGGTGGTGTCCACTGTGAGCGCCGTTGTGGTGGCCTGTCTCCTGGTGCTACTCTCAAGGCAGCCCCAGGCGACGCCCGGAGGCGCGGCAGCGGGGCTCCTGGGAGGTGTCGAGACCTTCAGGGTGCCAATGGTGCCCTGGCTACCGGCCATCGGAGCCTTTCTAAGCATCTGTCTGCTGGTGGACCTGCTCGTTTCCGCTTGGCTCGTGTTCCTCTGCTGGGTTGCACTGGGTGAGGGTCCTTTGTGTTTAAGAGGGCACTGATACCTCGAAATTTGTATTTTTTACTGCTTAAAAGCTTCAAAATAATTTGTCCTATGAAAAAAAGATAACATTTCAACGCGAAAAAAAATATTTAACGCACAAATGTTTTTTTTTTTTTTTTGAAGCGCTCCCTCCTCTCCTACCAGACACCTCCTCGCGATCGTTTTTCTGATCACGCGCTGCGTCATTATCGCTGTTTGAATGTGCAGAAGTTATGAGGTTGGGAAAGTTGCATTTTTATAACATTTAATAATGGTATGCATGAAACATATTTTCTGCGAACGTGGCTAGCGCACGACGACGCCGGGTTTTAAAATTCTGCTGCCCTCCTTCAACCGGCGGGCTGCTCCGGTTCAAGGACAGCAGAAAAATAAGCAAAAAATGCTTTAAACCACCTATGACGTTATCGAGAAGCGTAGAAACTTCAAATTAGGCTTTCTGACAATATTGATTTTCTCTGCAAACACGCTGTTTCCAGGCTTCAACTTTTGAAGGTGATCTCTAAGTATCATGTCCAATCGTTTAATAAATTTTAAAAAGAAAGAAGGAAAAAAAGTGCATTGGGGGGTGTCATCACCTCTTTAAAGGGGGGGTGCAACGATTTCCAGACTTCGGTCAAAGATTTCTGGAAGTTGCCCTCCGACACTTCTGAAGTAAAGAACAGAAAACCGATTTCGCCTGCGTGTCCTAGTTGTCGGGTAAAAAATGAAAGCCGTTTACAAATCCCTGTAACGCCGAATTGGAGCGCAGCTCTTGAGGAGGAGTAGGGAAGGGTACTAGGGGGGTCACGTCACCTCCGGGTAGTCACGTGAACTCGGGGGGGGGGGGGGGGGGGGTGTCACGTCACCTCGGGGGGGGGGGGGGGGGGTCACGTCACCTCGGGGGGGGTCACGTGACCCCCCCCCCCCCGGTTACGCCGACGGCGACGCCGCTCAGGCTGGAAACGGGCCCCTAAGAGCTGCGCTCTAAAAAGTGAAAGCCGTTTACAACTCCCTGTAACACCGAATTAGAGCGCAGCTCTTGAGGAGGAGGAGGGAAGGGTACTGGGGGGGGGGGTCAAGTGACCTGGGGGGGTCACGTGACCTTGGGGGTCACGTGACGATGCCGATGATGCCATCAGTGACGTCACTGATGACGTCATCAGTGACGATGACGATGCGGATTCCGATGACGTCATCAGTGATGATGGCGATGACGATGCGGATGCCGGGGATGTCATCAGTGATGATGACGTCACCGGCATCCTCATCGTCATCGTCATCCGTGATGATGACGATGACGATGCGGATGCCGGTGACGTCATCAGTGACGTCACTGATGACGTCATCAGTGATGATGACGATGCGGATGCCGGGGACGTTATCAGTGACGTCACTGGTGACGTCATCAGTGATGATGACGATGCGGATGCCGGTGACGTCATCAGTGACGATGACGTCATCGGGGAGGTCACGTGACCCCGGGGGGTGTCACATGACTTCGGGGAGGGGGTCACGTGACCTTGAAGGAGGGGGGTCACGTGACCTTGGGATGACCTTGGGGGGTCACGTGACCTTGGGGTGACCTTGGTTACGCCGACGCCGCTCAAGCCGGGAACGGGCCCCTAAGAGCTGCGCTCTAAAAAAAAGATAAATATTGGCATTTCGGGCACCCTCAACTCACTCCCAGCCTTCAGGGTCACACCTGGTCCCCCTCATAGTGACGTCATTCGGAGTGCCCAGTAGCTTCCCGTGTGCTTTCTCGGAGGACGCTTAAAGCTTAGAGCCGAGCGAGGTCACGTAATCTCCTCGCCGTAGTTCCTTCGGCTGCAACTCGTGGTTGCAGGTGGGGGAAAAAGCTCGACTTTCGCTTAGCCATTACGCAGCGGAATCGCGACATTTTTTTAGTGAGCGAGATGTTTTCTCTATTCTCCGAGACACAATAAACAAAGTAAAAGTGACGAGATGCAAATTCTTTTTATCATAAAATCATTGCACCGCCCCTTTAAGGAAGCTCTGTCATCGTCATCCCCGTTACATACTATAGTACCTGACGGAAGGACAAGGTCAAGGAGGTCTTCCAGTTGTATCGCCTCCAGCGCGAGCTTCCTACATTTGATTACAATTTGGCGGCTCGTAAGCTTGGAGCATGCGCACGCAGCCAAAGCACGGAGGAAGGCGACGAGCCCATGCTGGGGACCGGACATTCGAAAGGGACGCCTTGACGTTCTCCTCATTGTAGCACTCTCGTGTCTCGAGAGGTGAATGACAAGTTTATTTTAAGAAACACAAAACGCTTATGTAGACGTACAAACCGGCACGCCGCTTGCTGATAAGAGATACGGAGCGGCAGGTGATTAGAGCGGTACATGACTCGCACTATTTACAATCATGTCAGTGACATTAGTCATCATGCACGCGCAAGTAGACAGATTTTTCTACGGCCGCACAAAGCGTTTATCCTATACAGAGCGTAGCGAGTTAAGGTCTGCAGATAAATATTTAATCAAAAGATAATATCTGGAACGCTAACCATGATACCACGAGTTACCACTATCGTCTGGTACACGTCAAGCATTCCGACGAGTCGCGCTACCTGGTTAAATTGTTATTTTGCTATTGTACAAGCTGCCTTATTCATAGAATCACAAATTTACTATTGCAAACATCTAAGGACCCAATATGACTTATCATTTTCTACTGTGCTTCCTTGCACACCAAACCTTTATTTAGGAGAATACTGCATACGATTCACTTTTTTCCAGAAATGAGAACCGTGGGCACCCCAATGTTTTACACGGATGTTTCAGCCGACGTTGGCCAAACGTCTTCCTGTAGAAACTACGCATCGCACAAAATTAAGATAGTTACCGTTTCACTCATTGTAAAGACGCCTACTTATTGAGGTGCATAGAGCTTAGGATGATCAGGTTTCTTTCAAAATAAAATTCAAGAACTTTTAACACAATTTTTCATGATGCACTTGGTACGCATTGCTCCAAGGGTAATGGGGAGTGCATCAATTATTTTTAGAAATGGAGACAAATATGAATAATGTGGCCAAAGAGTTGTTTTTCTCTCATTGATGAACAATTTAACAGAATCAACATATAAAGCACTTATTTGTATCGGTCTTACAGACACCACTACTTCACTAAGAGGAATGGTCGAACGTCGTTTCGAAAGACGACATCGCATTTTAACATTACGATACGCCATTTGTTCTGTGAAAGTTTTAACTCGACCTTTTTGGGAAAGCCAAGAACACGGGCGAATACTCCTCGAAAGAACTTACTTTCGCCGATACGAAATTTGGAGAATGTACTTTAAAGTCGGGAGTTTTACTTGTCTCGGAAAGTACCAGAAAAAATATTTTAAGTACAAATACATACTCGGAGAATTCACTTCGAGTAAGTACAAATTTTCTAGTCCTACTTGTACTTTAAGTGCAACGTACTCAAAGCACTTCCCAACACTGGGAGAGGGGAAACAGAAAACTAGAGGGGAAAAAACTTAGTGCTGAAGGAGAGGAGTTCGAAGGCCGTCAGCCGAACGATGATCTGCGTGCAGGTGCGGGCGTGTACCTGCTGTACGGCATCCACAGTTCCACGGCGGCGTCCGAGTTCCCGCTGGTGCCGTCCGCCAACGGCAACATGGGCTCCCCGAGGCAGCCGTCGCCCAAGATCTCGCTGCGTCCGATGGCCATGCAGCCCCGCAGCATGTTCGTCTCGCACATCGTCCCGTCGCACAGGAGCCACCCGGGCAGTCAGCGGAGGCTCGCCGAACTGGACACCGTCTTCGTTCAGCATTGACTCGCCGCAAGAGGTTAGGGTGAGTGAGACCCTGTGTCCATTACCCGCATACCGGCCAGTCGAAAACACGTTAGACTGCGCGGACATACCAGCCGTTTCTTCTTCCTGATAATTAACCATTGCGTGTGTTCTGAACGCCGGAAATTAGTCAGCTCCAACGGGCGTCCCGTGTATCCGCTCTGGGTGAGATATGTGGCCAGTGCAGCAGCACCCCTAGCCCGGGGTTTTTAACGTGCTCCATGCAGAAGTGATTACGTGACCGCACGCCGGAGTGATGCTCATCCAGATCGAAACGGGCAGGGATGGGGATGGAAGCCAGGATCCCTGGGTTCTGCGGCTCGAGGTTTCGCTCCACGTGCTCCGAGCTGGTGTGTGTTAGAACATTCGGCCAGCAGCATGCGGGATTGATAACAAAAAGCGCATGGCTGAAGGAGGGCCATATCTTCTAAGGAAATTCGTCGGGTGGCGGCATTCGTCCAAATATCCTTCCGAGAAAAGACAGAAAATATTCTGTACATTTTAGGGCAGAAGAAAATTATGTAAATACTCTCCCTATTGCAGTTCACGCGCTCGACAGGAGAGCAACGCCGAAAGTAAACTTTTCTTACCTATGTTCCCCTTGCCCCAATGAGGCCATGGCGCCACCCTTTTGAGAATAAAGTTAATCATCATCATCATCATCACCCCCAATATACCCGATGACTGGTATGTGTCTACTATATATTTCCAAACCTCTCCAAGTTCTCTTTTCTATGTTATTATTTAATCCGTCGATGTGCAACGAGTCTGATAATCGAAAGAAAATAAAATCTCGCAAGAATTTCTCTTCTCCTTTCTTTCCCCGTTGATTATATATGTACTGATGTACAGAGTTCCATCTTCATAAAAATGTAATCCCCTTTTCCGCAGAACCAGTCGCCGGAGCATTGCCCGAAGTTGCAGTCCCACGGGCGAACCAAATCGGCCCGCGTCATTCCAGGGTTCGGGGCCAGCCACATAGAACCAAGCGGGTCCACTCCCACCCAGAAGCAATAAGTCGGACCAAAGGACAGCATGCTTGTTCTGGCGTCCCGCCGGCGTGGACGCCAACTCATCGTCTCCGCGCCTCTCATCCTCGAGTTCAAATATCTGTGACAAGTTATCATGCTGTACTCACAGCGTGCACCAAGCCCGACTCCCATTGAAGGCACGCTCGATGATGTTATTTAAGAAAAGAAAGCAAAAAAGACGTTTTCTACTACGTCGACGGCGACTGGGAATCTCGACGAGGTCCCGGGGTACGCTTGGCACCGTAGACGCACCATACCAATGCAAACATAGACAATCAGTGCAGAAGTACAGTGCTTGAAACTCTTTGCAGCGTGCGCCCTCCCGACTCGCTTCTAGCGTTGCCGAATACCGCTATAACAGACAAACCAAATGGCGACCATCCAATTCGAGAGCTCGCAAGTAAAGCCCCTCTATACTGAAAGTAACGCGAACCACTGTAGTTAGCTTTCCTCCTTTCGAACGCACTCGAACTCAAATATTTATAACTCCCCTTCCGGCAGACGACGCCATGTTTGAGCGTGGCGTGCTGGGAGGGAAAAGAAGTAGTGCCGCGTCGGGCGTTCGGCTAACACTCCCGTCATCGCTGATTGGAAGACGAGTCTCCACCGAAAGTTGACGTAGTACACTTGTCCAATCCCTGCACTGCGTTCACCTCTCGAAGTGACTGATCATTCAGCACTACGGCCAATTTATTTAGGAGATGTTGCTCGGTCATGCTCAAAAATGGCGTCATCATCCGGGAGCGGAAAGAAGGAGAGAAGGGTCACCCCCCCCCCCCCCCCACCCCTTTTTTTAGAGAGAAGGTTGGCGTAACTTTTTTGAATGCAGGAGCTTTTCTTGCCAGCAGTAACATAAACTGAGCTTGAGGGTGTGCTATTGAACAAACAACCCTAAGTGGTTGAACATCAGCGTTCCAAGAACTTGACTGTACCATACTGAAAATTGATGAAATCCTCCATGGGAAAGCCGCATGTCTTCTGTTCCGAATCTCGAACGTGAATCATGTTTCTTCGCGTGAAGTACACGAACGAACTCACTCAATGGTTGTTCTACAAGTTGTGTGTATGCACATTCGCGGATGTGTGGTTGTGCGCACCTGCGGGCCCTTGGAGCATTGTAACGACATTAGGTGGTTTTCGGCGTAGCGTTACCGCAGGCTACCGTCGACACAGCAACGCTTCTTGCGCGCGCTGAAGATTATGCTTCGGAGATGCAGCGCGATCTTCCGGTAGCAATGCCGCTCCGTACGGCAACGGTATGCTAAAACTCTATTACTACTCGCCACGGTAGTATGTTCAACCCCACCAAACATTCCCTCCAAAACAGGATTTTTTTTTTTTTTTCGTTTTTTTCTGTACAGCTTTTGCGTCGCTATGATTTACTCCCAACGGAGCAGGCGGTCCGGCACTTCATTGGAGTATATCCTAACGTCCACGACTGTGCGCCATCAACACTGGCGTGATTATTCGCGTCTCTGTTCACCATGACAAACTCACTCAACACCACTCATGTTCCAGAACTGCAGACGCGAGATAATTGTTTGAGGTGTGCCTTCCTCGATTTAAAGCTTCGTGCATGCTAAGTCAACTTCAAAGCTATAAGTTAACACCTCTCACGTTTACTGCACTGTCTCTCACTTTCTCTCTTTCTCTCTATCTCGCTCTCTCTCTCTCTCTCGCTTTCTCTTTCTATTTCTCTTCAGTGTGTTCAACCACGTGTGATGTGCAAGTATATTTTTTGCAAGGTGGCCGAGAAGGAAAAAAAACGTTTTCGCATGAGGAGGTTTGACTTCTCTTTATAAACTATATTATGTATACGGTTGTTGAAGCCTTTTGTGGTTAGTGACGTGTTTCTTGTTTGCGTTAGCAGACAATCCACCCCAATGCACTTTCCCCCGTACCTATGGGCCCTGGCTTGATGCGAGATGCAAGGAAAAGGAAGCTACCGAAGAGACTTCGAGGAAAGCGTCGCGTGTTAATTAATAAATAGAAAACAGCATCCGCCGGACTAAACAAAAGTGTCACTTAAAAAAAAAAAACTGACGCTCATTATTGGCATCATACCAATGAAAACTGGTAGCACACGGGTGTAGAAGACTAGTGTGGGGTAAACTGTTTTCATGTTTTAGTACTACCCCGCCAGGTTGTTGCGTGTGCTTGTCAGTTAAATGTGCGCTCAGACGTTGCCAGGGTAGAAGTCGACTGCCAAGTCATTCTGGCATGCTAGTCATGGTCTCACCAGCTCAGCCTAGTCAAGGATTGCATAATCGTCTTCCATGCATGTTTTGTGCTCCGACGTTCTTGCCTCCTAAGTGAACATATCTCCTTTCTAACACCCGTCTAACCCTGACCTTAAGACGACACTTTGTAAGCGGTCAAGAGTGAGAACAGCGGCTGTCCACGGTATTCCATCCTTCCTGTACCTTTTACGCTGCATTTATTGTTTCGCTAACGGATAATGCACACCCTACCGTTGAAACTCCGTTCTTTTAACGATGCCGCTCAATTTCGTGTACTAACTGAGGCCGCATTGTAAAACACTTTCGGCTGGTTCCCATACATACTTGCGTTTGACTGCGTCTGGGTGCGTTGCGTTTTCGTGCTGCAGCTTACGTCCAGAGAACGTACTGGCACGCTGGCGCCATCTCTTAGGTAGCGCTAGAACCCTTTCGATCAGCGTATACATTCTTATCATTTTGTAGGCATCATTCCTTCGCCGCAGACTCGAAATAATGCTGACAACGTTGTAGGCAATTATTTCTCATATACAGTAGGAAGATGTAACCTCGCACATAATGGAAGAACTTCAGTCGAGTTACATGCGCATATACCTGCGCTACGTGATAGATGGCGCCAGGTGCAAACAAGCCATTAGTCGAAGCTGCGTCTTTATTTAAATTGGAAGTTTTAGGTGTTACTCGTTCCCGAAGCAACTGTAACCCAGATATACCTCCGTGAGAATGCTGACGTTAAAGTTTGTTGTTGTTGTTTATTAAGTTATCTTGCCTAGTAATACGACTCCGAAGACCACCGCAATAATCTGGCCAGACTGGTTGGTCGTCTTTGCACAGCTAGTTAGGAAAACGTGTTCGCTGCACTCGCAAAAAGACTCTCGCACAGCGTCTCGACAAAGATACTCATCGACCCTCGAGTCGTTCCCAATATCGAGCTCAGAACTCTCGGTGTCTTGCTTCTTTATTTTTTTTTTTTTTTTTTATAACGGAACCTTCTCTTCGAATCGTAAGGTACCGTACCCATCGTCCCTCGCAATACTGCACCAACGAACAATGAGTCCACCCAAAAAAAAAAAAAAATACTGTAACATTTTAGACACAACAATATATTCCCCCACAGGCCAATATTAAAAAAAAAGGCCGTACAAAACTATTTGCGTTATCACGCGACAATTTCCATCTCTCTCTATCTCTATACTGCGTTTCACTCTGGGTCCGACCCCAGCCGGCGCTACGCCATCCGATGTAGCCAATCAAGCACACTGTATCCGCCGCGATTCCGCGTTTTTTTTTTCCTGTGTATGTGTGTGATTGGTTTAGTAAGTGATAGCTAGCATACCCACAAAGGCAACGAGCCAACGAGGTAGACGGGCTTAGAACGATAAACTGGCAACTGAAAGGGACCCCCTCCCCCCCCCCCTCCCCCGGCCGCCGCCATGTTGCACATTTTTAACCACTAGACACGTACCTTATCGTTTTACGTCTAGATTTCAACGAAATACCGCGCACAGAGCATTGCTTATTGATCTTTAATAACAGTACCGACGAGATAAGTTACGTTTCGTTCGTTTTAAGTTCAAAATGTGCTTCTACGACAAAACCTCGGGCAGCTTCGCAATGGCTCCGCTAGATGCCGACAGCCGCGGTGCTGTATTTTGGTTGGTGTTTTTATCGGAGCTAGACACTGATCTCTGGGGCTAGCAGTATCGAAAAATAGTTTATCGTGTCTTTTTACAGCGATCGCAATACGAATCTCGGCTCAGTTTTCCGTAAAAGCCTCACTATTTGGTACGGTCACGTGTCTAGGGGTCAAAATTGTACAACATGGCGGCAGCCAAGTGGGGGTCACTTTCGTCTGGTGAACGGGATACCAGTCTATCGCTATAAGCCACTCTACCTCGTTGCAACGGGCACATTGACGATGCACTTTTGGTGCTTTCTGATTGGCTGCATCTGATTGTAGCGTCAACTGGGGTCGCACTTAGTATAGCTACATGAATTATATCCGAATACATAAAAAAAAAAAGAAAAAAAAATATATATACGGTTTTTTCGACCGTTGATATACTAGTGAATAAAATGCATACTGGAGCTTCGTCCGTAAACAAAACTCTCCAAGTTGCCGTTTGTAACATTTAAAAAAACGCGGCACTGTTTTTGTTTGTTACACCGGGCCCCGGCAGATGGAATACAGTGCTTGTGTGTGGTGTTTTGTCTTTTGACCTGTGATAGTGCCAAACAAAACTGTTATATACAAGCGGGCACACGTGGAAAATAGTGCATATGATGACAACGATATTCAGGAAGTGTCTGCTTTTTTGCCGTTGTTTCTAGTCGGGAAAGGTTGGAATGTTTGAACACCCCCCTTCACCTTTGTATTCAACAAAGTCGTTGACTACATTGATTCCATAAATAATCAAAGTATTTTTAACGGGATTACGTGCGCAGCACCGAAATATGTGCTCACGGCTCGGTTTGCTTATATACTATCTTGCACAGCACTGGCTTGTTTGGTAAAAATGTCTGAGTTTTCATGACGTAATAAAGATGTTTGGAAAAAGTCATGTTTGTGTCGCCGTTTCCAAACTTACAGATGTGAATATTTATTTTTTACCGTTTTTAAAAGAAAATTTGATTTGAGATAAATACTTTCGTTGCTATTAAACGACACGTCTTATTGTCCTAAGAAAAGAAGATGGTCCGTGCCCAGGTTACTTCAATATTCCACCGCGAAAAATAGACGTTTTTTATTTAAACAAAGTCATTAGTCATTTATATGCATTTTACTGAACTCAAAGAAGTATAATTACAAGCACATTGCCTAAAACGCCTCTATAATTCAAACTGCGGGACCGACGAAAACATTTTCGTCGCCATTGATATCTTTATTATTCCACAACAAAAAAAAAATCAAAGATTTGTTCTATTTAAATGTACTTATCAAGAATTTACTTCTATCGTCCCATATAAAAGTAGTGTAATTACAATTACATTGCCTAGAACGCTCCCATCACAAAATGTGGGAGACTGAGAAAAAAAAGTTCTTCTCATGAGTCACTATATATTTTCAGCGCGAAAACACCGAGCGTGTTTTATTTAGATATAGTCGTTGCTAATTTCTTTTATGTTGCCCCAAACTAAAAGCAGTGTCACTACTTTTAGTTTCATATATATATATATATCAGTGTGTCGAACCGAAAAAAATACGGGTTCGGTTACGGTTCAGGTTCAGGTAAATTTATTTTGTTCCGGTTCAGTTCCGGTTCGATTAATTCGATCCGCGAACCGGTTCGCGAACCGGTTCGGAAATTATAAATGACAAATTGCAACATCAAAATAAATTACAAATAAAACATCTGAAATCAGCACATACGAAACGGGATACATCGTAGTGTAAGGCTCAGGGATTTCTATCAGGAGTGGTTTCTTTATGTGCACTCAAAGGTTACCTCACCGAACAAAACGAAGAAGTGACGGCATCGCTAAATGAGTTAATCTAATGATGATGACTGGGGGTTCTGATTTCATACTGTGCCATGTTACGAGAAGTCTGTGCGGTTAGGACCGCAGAGCCTTCTGCTTCTTTTTTTTTTTTTTTTTTTTTCTCTCTTTAGAATTGAGGCTGAGTTTAGAGTAGTTTCAATTAAAAATAGTATTAAACAATGGTTGAAAAAATTAAGGACGTTTGCAAACCTCAGTAATGCGAAGCTAGAGCGTAGCTCTTGGCGAGGAGGATGACAGGGTACAAAGGGGGAGGGTATGCCCCTCCTCCTCTGTACTCTCCCCTCCTCCTCCCCTTTTCTCTTCATCCTCCTCTTCCTCCTTTCCTCCTCCTCTTCCTCCTCCTCTCCACCTCGCGCTAATTTTTTTCGCTAAATTTTCCTCCAAATTTATCGAAAATTTCCCCGCTAAATTTAGCGGGAAAATTGACGTCACATGACTTCGTGTCACGTCACCCATGAACAAATTCAGTCTCCCCTAGATTTAGCGGCGAAATTGACGTCATGTGACCTCAACACCAATTCAATTTCCCGCTAAATTTAGCGGGGCAGTTCCGCCGACGGCGACGGCGACGCCGTTCAACGCGGAAACGGGCGCCTAAGAGATGCTCTCTAAAATGGAGCAGATGCCAACACTCAAGTTGAGATAAACCTCCTTTCCCCCTCCCCCATTTATACTCTGTAGCTCATATAGCCTGTAAATATAACTCCTGTAAGATGCCAGCGAAAACCAGCATATCCACTAGAACGTCTATCAATAAAAATACGTACCCCCAAGTTTTATGAACCGGTCCTATTTAAGACTTCAAAACAGCGCAGGTGAGCTAGTAAGCAATCATAGTAAGAAAAAGAAAAAAAAAAACCTTGAGACTAGGGACACAAAATGGAAAAACACACACCGTCTCAAATTTGAGAAGGTGTTGTGTTGTCCGATTTCTTTTCCCTAGTCTCACGTGTTCTTTTTTTTTTTCATTTTTTACTTAATATTTTAATACGATTAACTGCAAAAACATCCACCCAGAAGTATTACAAAAACCTACAGTTGTGCTTTGAAAGTGACACTGCGCTTTAGCGGCGTTGGAACCAGAGTTAAATCGAAGTTCGTTGTTCTTTCGATTGACTGCTGCTCGGAAACTACTTTGAACACCGCATTTATTCAAATATAGACCTTTTTTTTCTCGCCTTTTTTGGTCCAGTTTTTTTTTTTCTTTTTTTTAATAGTCGTTATTTACATTCAAGACCAACGATGGTTTTGAGCCAATCGCCAAAGATGGTCTCGAGCCAATCGCGCTAACCCAGGTGCTTCCCCGTGTCGGCTGCTGCTCCTATCGCTCCGGTGCAAAGCAGGGAAGCTCGACGCGCTCGCTCTTGTCGGGCGGAGAAGGTTGACCCGACTGCATAGCCAAGGCACGGGGGCTTGTGGCACACACGATAATCATGCGAGCTCATTGGGAAGAAAATACCCTGGTTCAGGCTTATCACAGTAGCCACCTGTTTACTATTCTAAAAAATTTTCTCGCGACTATTAGTACCCGAAATTGCCGACATCGTCTGGAAATCCAGACGATGAGGGGGCCAGCGCGGTCGCCGAACGATCTCTCACAAGCTCTTCGACGTTACAAGCCAATCAAAGTGCCAAAACCGCGACAGCATGGCATTCGTCATTTATTTATTTATTTATTTTCAATACTACTAACCCCATTCGGGGTTGTTGTAGGGTGGTACAGTTTGAAATATTACAAGCAAGAAACAATATTCGACACACGATTTGCACGTCAATTTTTAACGCAAATATAGAAGTCAGGAATGAAAAAAATAGTAAATAACTTCAATACAATAAATACATTGCACTTTTAAAAACAGCATAAAATATTACTTTAGGATGAAAGGTGGGCGTCTAAGCAATCAAGAAAGATCTCAATGGAAGAGGAATTAACAACATTACGAGGCAGGTGGTTCCATTCGTTTATAGTTCGGGGAAAAATAGAAAATTTAAAGCAGTTATTAAGAGTGACGCTCTGCTCATAAAGCTTGCCATGGTTGTACCGTGTTAATCGTTTGCTTGTATGGATAAGATCATTTTCTTTTGGTAGTTTAAAATTACCTTTGGTTTATTCGCTCTCTTTTCTAGAAAGGAGATACCCCGTTGAGGGGCCTGCAAAGTTCAGAGGGAGAGACGTGCCAACTATATTTATTGCAAATAAACCTCGCTGCCATTCTTTGAACTCTTTCTACCTTATTGATACCGGAGACTGTGTGGGGGAAGCAGACAACGTTGGCGAACTCGAGCGTAGGACAAAAATAAAGTTTTGTAGGCTAGTAATTTACTGGCAGGAGATCCAAGTTTTAATACTCGTTTAAGGAAACTCAGATGTTTAAAGCTTTATTAGCTGTGGACTGAGTCTGTGAGTCCCAACGCAAATTTTGACTTCTGTTGAGGCCGAGGTACTTGTTCTAAGAGGTTATTGCCTATCAGGGAAGGAAAGGAGTATTAAACATAACATCCCCCCCTCGCCTTCCCCGCCTCCCTTTTTAGTCACACGAGCACTTCCCGAAGAAGAGGAAAGGAACGGGTTTAAATTAAAAGACAGGTTGCGGTTTGGTAGTCTTGTGCTACTGCTACCATACGTACAGTTGGAGTGTTTTTGGTTCGGATTGATCTGAAGTATTCCATGTTCCACCTATTGCTAAAGAAAAAAGTTTGGACCCCCCCCCCCCCCCCCCCCGGCTCTCTTTCCTGCCTTTCCTCTTCCAGACAGCTCTTGGAAGTTTAGTGGTCTTGATCGCGGCTCTTAGGCCGGTTCAGCCTGACCACCTCTAGTTAGCTAATCAACGTGCGATTTTAGTGTGTGTGTTTCCGGTTGTGTGATTTCGAGCCTTCGACTGTGATCTGACCTAAGATTAAATAAGCTATACAGCGAGTAGAGACCAGTGTTGGGAAGTACTTTAAGCACATTATACTTAAAGTACCGCAATAAACAGGTTTTAAAAACTTGTACTTTACTTAAAGTAATATTGTACTTTACTTATTTTCCAAGGAAAGTACAACTCCATCTTCAAAGTGCATTCCCCAAATTTGGTCTTGTAAAAATGTATGACAAAACGTTGCTTTGTAAACTCCGAAGAAATAGTGGGAAAGATATTCTCTTCTCGCCAGAAACGCGAGCAGACGACGCATCGCTCCGTTTTGTGCAGGGGACGGCCTTCCCGAAGTATTTCGAAGCTCTCGCTACTTCTCGCCCGGTCAGCGCAAGCAAGAGAATTAGAGGGCACGAAAAGGTGCCTTTTGGGCAAGCTGAGATTGCTCTGTTATTTTCGGCGTCCACTTGTCGATTTTTTTTTTCTTTTTGGGGTGCGGATTTATGTCTTGTCGCCAAATCTGTAGAAAATTTCCAAGCTGTTGGTGCCCTTAGGAGCGAGCTCCCACAGAATTCGTCTGATTTGTTGTTCTCGGAACGCAATAAGTATGCTCGATATGTTGCGTAAAGCGCTAGGATAAGGCACGGACGAGCGCGTTGGTCTGGGTAGTAGCTTCTGGGCGCTCGGCGAAGGGGTAACTCTGGTCCCTTTCTCGATTTTAGGCGTTACGACGGTTTTAAATGAAAAAGAAAAGTCCCCGATTAACAAAATGCCAGCATTTTTTTTTGTGTGTGTAGTTGTGTAGATATCCCATCTCAAAGATTTTGTTCGGGGGTCCATGGCGAAACCGATACTAGCGGCTCAAGCATGACGGCAACCCCTGTGATCAGCTGCATGGTCATCGTGTGACGCAAACTTTGTATTACGGTACTGCAAGCCGTGAGACTGGCCTTATCTCAAGAGCAGTTCCGATCAGTAAGGTAATATGTTACAGCTGTTTTACTGCTTTGCTTTGCAGACATCAAACATTTATAGTAAATATTAATACACAGACAGAAAGTTTCCGGCAAAAACGCGAGCTTGCCACGATGAACGCAGGATTGATTGATTGATGCATTTATTTAATGAACCATGTCCTGACTTGTTGGGCACGCTCAGAAGGGCGCTATGGAAAA